TTTTATTTTTATTGCTAATATTAAATTTTAATAGTTTGAATTTTATTTTTAATCCTTTTTATAATTTAAAAATTTTTAATAATTATTTTATCAAAATCAAACCCTTAAAACATTTAAATTTTGATTCACAATTAAAAAAGCGAAAAGAATGGAAGAGGACGCGGTGGAAGTCAGGAAGATGGAAAACAGCCTCTTCCCGCTTTCTCGGTCCCATTGCTTCACTATGCATTTTGTGGGATATTCATTTTTTATTGGCACCGACAAGTTTGTTGAGGGTTAAAAAAAAAAAGACGAAAAAAACGTTTCTTATCGTGGGATTGTATTTTTGAACGAGGAATCTGAATGGTTAAATTTCACTATCACTTTCCAGATTTATTCACTATTTTGTAGAGGGACGTGTAATTAATACTCACATTACATTTAGGGATATTCACAAAATGAGATAAGATTGAGATACTCTCATCCAGTGTTTTGTCTTGAAAAAAAAATTGAGATTAAATTTTAATCTCGTGTCTTATACCTCGTCCCGTCTCGAAAGTCGTCCCATTTTATTAGAAGTCAAAACGGGATCAGGACAAAATCGGGATGTCTTGCTATCCCGACAAATCAGGCAATATTGAAGAAAGATCTGGATAATAACATTTATTAAAATTTTAAATTATATAATTTATTAAGTTAAAATCAAAACAACACAAGTACATAAATCATAACAATTTAAAGTTAATTATTGAATTACATTAACCACAGTTACACATTATAATAGCAAATACAAGTAATCTTTAGGCTATAAGATTAGCAATAATAGGCAAGTCAAGTATAACATTAAATCATTATTCTTCTACTTTAATGGAGATGTATTAAGCTAATTACTCTTCTGAAAATAAAACAAGAAATACATTATAAATAAAAGTTATTAAATAGATAAATATAAGAATAAATTATATTAATATAATTAATATATTATAAAGAAAGATATTGCCATGTTTACTTAATATCATTAAAATTATCAATATAAAAATTTTTAGTTTTAAATAAGAATTGTAAGTATTAAAATTATAATTGATAATTAATATAAGTATAAATTATCTTAATATAATTAATATACTTAAAATAAAAAATAAATATATATATATAATGTTCAGATGGGACGGGATGTTCTGATAATAATTTTATATCCCATCCTGTTTCAAAAAATCCCATCTCAATTATTTTCAAGTCGAGATAAGACTTATCTTAATATGATGAAATGATGTCAGATCACTTGGGATGGATGAAGTTGAACACCCTTAGTTACGTCTGCTATTTTCGTTTCATTCCCTCCATCTGCGTTAAAAACGCAGAACAGTGATCGGATTTGGCTCTCCACTAACCTTTTTTCTCATTTCCTTTTGACTACCTAAAATAAAATTTAGAGCATTCAAATTTAATTTTAAATAGTTCAGATTTAGAATTATTTTTATTTTATACTCATTAAAATAAAAAATATTAGTAAATTCATTTTATCACCAAAGATATGTACCATTTAATTTAATATTAAATTTTTTTATAATTTTTACATGTTGGCATTCACTGTATACAATTCAATTTTAATATTAATTTTTTATATTTTTATAAATTATTATTTTAAAAAAATGATATTAAAAGTGAAGATAATCTGTCAACGACACTTTTCAAGAAAATATTTTTATAAAAAAATTATAAATTAAAAAATTTAAATTCAAACCATTCAAAGTAAATCCAGATAATTAATTATAAAAGTTATATATATTTAATATTAAATTTTTAACCCTCCAAATTAAATATGGACTATTTTGATTGGAGATAAAATAAATTTATTAAAAAAATTAGTAAATATAAAATAAATAATAAATAAATAATTTTGACCATTTAAATTTAATCACAATCTAGATTTTATTTTAAGTTAGCGGAGGGAAAATAGAAAGAAAGATTGACGAAGAGAAGCTAGTCCATAATTGTCACGACTCACGAGGGCCATGTATACTAGGTCTCATTATCGTTTTCTTGATAAAAGGTACTCCTACATTTTTTACATTATTATTCACAGGCATTTCAAAATGACAACATATCACCTGAAAGTAGGGCTACATAAAGGATTAATTCAATAAAACTTCAACCTAATTTAAAATCTAGCCCTATTTATAAAAAAAAATTGAATTAAGTAACTCATGATTTAATCTGATTTTAATATAATTTGAAATCAAATAGGACCATATTAGTATAGTAGGATTATAAAATTAGTCTTGATCTTATCCAATATCTCACATTGTTTTTTTTTTTTATCTATGAGAGGTATCAATTTATTTTAACATAATAAACTTAACTAACATAGTAAATTACTATTAGTTATATAAAATTTATCACAACAGTAACAATTATAAATCCACAACAATATCTAACAATGATAAAAAGTTTTTAATTATAACACAAATGATTTAAATTAAATAACCTTCAATAATATTAGTCAACCTTAAATATGTCTAAAGCCTATTGTACTAAGTTAACAATAAATTTTACCAGTAAAAGGAAAAAATTAAGGTTAGTCAATGCTAAAACTTTACTCAATATTCATGATTTCACAAATATAAACACAAAAAACTATTAATTATTATTATTATAAATTAACTTATTGTAATAAAAATTAATGAATTAATTATAATTAAATTAAATAAATTTATAGGATCGAATTAGATTAAATGGTCAAGGTACTCGGTCTTTTATCCAATCCAATTAAAAAAAAAGAGTCTAATCTTTTTTATCCTAAAAGATTAAATTTTATTTAGACCGATAGGATCAAGTTTGTGTCAAGTTGAATCAAATTGAATTGGACTGAAAAATTTTTGCATATCTCTAAAAGTTAATAATTTTGCAAGATAAATCATTCATGTGTTTTTATGCACCGCTTATTGAGCTTGAATTAATGAGAATGAATCGCAACCTTAAATCAATGTCAAACAGTTAATGTCATTATTTTTTATTGTAAAAGATCAAAATTTTATTTCAACCAAGTTTTTACCTAATTTTAATTTTGAATGACTGACAACAATATTATTGACTTTGTGAGTTTAAATAAATTTATAATAAAATATAAACTTAAATTGCAAACTTAAATTATAAATTCTTAAGACCTCTATAAATAAATAGTCATTAAAAATTTATTATTAAATAATTAAAATATAAAATATGTCATAATTTAATTCTAAATATATTTAAAATATAAATAATTAAAATTAATTATATTTACACTGATAAATCATCATACAAAAAATAAAAATTTTAAAATAGAAAAACTTATTTTTGATATTTTCTTCTTTTTTTCTATTATTAATTTTTGATTTTTAAATTTTTTAAATCAGGTTTTATAACTTTTGTGACCGAATTCTTCATAACATATAGTTGAAAGTTTATGAATAAATTATCATAATTTTATAAATTAAAAATGTAAAAACACTAAATTTAAAAAATTAATTCGAAAGTTTAACAATTATGAATCACAACATCCATAAGTGATTGATAATATTAATTTTATTTTAACAATATTTTATTAATAGTATAAGTATATATTAATAAAGCATAATAATAATACTTTACAAGCTTACTTTTTAAAACAAAATTATTAATTTTTAAAATGTCTCTATACACTTAATCATTATGTGACAATATCACTTCAATTCTTTTTTCATTTAAAGTATAATATTAAAAAATATCATTAATAAAATTTTATTTTTATTAAATTATCTTATAATTTGCAATAATTTTTTTAAAATTATTTTATAATTTAGGATGAAGTGAGTAATTGTTTTTTTTTTATTGCCCAAGATATTCTTATAGCCAGCAACTGTGAGATTAATTTATAGAGTTTGAATATCATTTAAAGGTTGTCTTTTTTAAATGATGTTTTTACATACACATTTTTAAGAATTAAATCTTAGAATTATGTTTAAGGGTCCAAATTGTTTCCATATATGCTACATTCACTTGCTAGTGACTAATTGTTTTTGTTAACACACGCATCAGTGGGGAGGGCCAAGGGGGGCATAAAATTGGGGGTGAGTTTGGTTTCCCTTTTGTTTCCGTGAGATTTTTTTTTTTTTTTTGGTTTGTTTTTACCAGCCTATTTCCGTGAGAATTTGGAAATGCAAATGGTCAGGCAAATTGCAAAACAAACGTGAAAATGGAGGACGGTGACAAATGGACGCCGCCAAGGCAACCGACGTTGGACGACCTGTCGTGAAAGGGAAGTTCGCAGATTCGCCTACCTGAGATCCTCGAGGACATAAACGTCATCTCCAGATTGTCCGAGGTGATTTTGTGTCACCAGCTGCCAGCGTGACCATTGAATCCTCCCGGTCTCCTTCTCTCTCTCTCTTCAAAAAACGCGGCTCACGAAAACTCGGAAAAAATGAAAACGAAAAGCTTTCCCTTTATATTTTGTTCCTTTTCCATTTCTGTCCAAAAGAAGCTTTTGAGTCCACAATGACGTGCTCCACGTTTGTGCTCAAAGCATATTCCATTTTATTTCTTTAACCAAACTTCACGTTCTCACACTTCACCGAAAAATCTGATTGATTCGCCTGCAATTCCTGGATCTAAACGGCCTCAAAGAAGTCTGTTTTGTTTCTGTTTTAGGTTCGTTTCGTTTGTCCCCCTTGCATGATTTTGCTTTGATGATCGGAGAAAAGCGGAAGTGAAGGAACAGAAGCTCCATTTCCTTCCCCCTTTTTTGAGCATTTGCCTTTCAATGTTTATTCGTTTGATCTGCTAGGACCTATATGAAATCCGATACTCTTTCTTAACTTTCCCATTCTTTTTCTTTTTTTCGCGCTTCTGGGAAAAAATTCGTTGCTTTAGCCTGGACTTGAAACGGAATCGGTGTTTAATTGATCAGCAAGAGGCTCGCATGGTAAACTTAGTTTGGTTCCATCTTGGAAATAATGAACTTTCAACTCGAAATGTCATTAATAATTGCTTTGCAGCAAATTCCTTGACTGCGTTGTATTTTACAAGTTACTATGGCAATGTGTTGTTCGCACCAATGAAGAATTTGATATTTATTATAATGGTCAGATAATTGTCTTTATAAAATCCCCATTACATTATTACATTGTTGTCAATATTTTTATTCTTGATGGTAAACGAAAGATCGTTTGTTTGGTTGCTTGAAGTTTGGACGTTAAAATTGGAACTGGGGCTACCAGCCCCAGTTCTAGAATCCGCAGTCTGTTCTTAACATGAAATCAATTTTCGTCCTACGCTTGTTCTTAAACATGAAATCAATTTTCGTCCTACGCTTTTATAAGCTTTGTGTCCTGTTTTGCCCTATTGATATGAAACGGATTTTGATAACCCTCTGCCAAAACTCAATGCAGGTTGTTGAGTAAAAGCATTATTTTGCTGCTAAACACCTTAAATCAGTTGGGGAGGTTTGAAGCTCCTACATTAGATATTAGACAAAGTAAAGATGAAGAGCGATTGGTTATCTTCCATGGGTTCTGATGGAGTTCATCCTGACATCTTTTCGTTGGAGCCATTTGTATTTCATAACCTTGGGTCTCATTTATTTTCACAGCTACATTCATTTGCGGACAATTCTATTTACCAGTCGAGAAACTTATATGTGCCGGGAAGTTTGGCTCTTCAAGAGGCATTTAATCGTATATCAGGAATTGCTGGTGCTTTTTTAGTTTGGTTCTGTAGTGGAACCAACTCAAAGATATCCCGGGATATAGCAGGTTCTCAATTTAGAAGTAGCGGGGCTTCTATGCAGGTCAAGCCTATGTCTTCTGTTGGACATAATCTAGTTGGGTTTCACTTCAGCTTTAGATCAGAAAGAAAATCTATTGCCCCCGTGGCCTTAGCCAAGATTTCTAGTTCTGCAATGAGGCTACTTTGGAGAGAAGTGAAAAGGCTTCAATCAAATCCTGTGCTGTCTCTAGCTGCAGTATTGGTACCACCAATTCAAAACTTGTAAGTCACACTAAAAGATATTTACTCAGCTTGAATCATTCTGGGCGTGGGAATTTTTTCTCGTTGTTTTACAATGATGAGCTTGTTTCCATGTTATTTACTGCAGATCATCAACGGTGCTGACCGGTCCACTTGAGAATACTGAGGTGTCAATGCATGGAGGCAAGGACCAAATCCCTTGTGAGGTTAAGAAAAAGGGATGTGCTCAACTATCTTTTCCTGAATTGAACCTGACGAAGCATGTGGTTGAGCCTAAAACTGGCATTGAGTTTCCCATGATCTTGAACAATGTAGTAGATGAAGAGCAGGATGTCAACTTAAACTCTGAGGTCAGTATTCAATTTTCAAATTTTTCTGGTTTTTTCTCCTCTTGCTTATCAATAGGTAATAGGATTAATTTGTGCCTTAATGCATTTGCTCGTGAAAATTATTTCATCTGGCTTTTGATATATTGTTTTCTTGAAAAAATACATAGCTAGTGTGTAAGCTCAGAAATGTATAATTGACTGAAAATTAGCAAGGTAGTTAAAAATAACCTGCTGTATAGGAGGCTTTTTGTGTGAAAATCTTTAGTTTTTTCCTCTATTAAATTTTGTCTAGTAATCACGCAATATGAATTGTGATGGGTTAGACTGTGACTGGTTTTTTCTTTACCTCTCTTCTGGAGGTCCGTTTGATTGTCATTTGTTTCAATGACCTTTCCCAAATGCAGTCCTTGAGGTTCATATCTTTACATCAACTAACATAAGCTTCTAAATTTGCTTCAGGTCCTGGTTGGAACTGGGTCCAGAACCATGACAATAGTTAAAATCAAGTCTTTAAAGATCTATGCATTTGGTTTTTGTAAGTTTTCTTGAATACTTGGTACTAATTGTTACATGGTAGTGTCAGCAAAATTATTGCCATATATTGAACCACTCTCATTCTTTAACAGATGTTCATCCTCACTCCCTCTGTGAGAAATTGGGTCCAAAATATGCATCATTTTCTGCTGGTGAGCTGAATAACTCCCATGGTTTCTACAAGGATCTTCTTAGGTATTGAAAATCATTTATGCTATCTGTATATTAAGTTTATCAACTTAGGAGGTTCCCTTTTTTTGGTGACGGTGATTGTAATTGATCATCATAAAGTACAAAGGGGCATTTTACAGACCAATCATGAGTCATCTAGCACATGCATCTGAGTTGCAAACTTATGTTGATTGATTTCATGGTTAAGATGTTGACTTTGCTGTGTGTGTTGGGCTTTTTATCACAGGGAGGATGTTGAAATGACTGTGAGGCTTGTCGTGAATTGCAAGGGGATGAAAATCAACACCGTGAAAGAGTTAGTAATTTTGTTTCACTTCTCAGCTGAGGATTTTTTTTTAATTTTAAAAATAAGGAAATTCTTACTTGATTTTAGAGTCTGTTTTGCTAGTTAGATTGGGTTTTGAATTTTCCTCTAGGTTTTTAAGTTGTATTGTTGCATGATTATGACACTTCCAAATTATTTTGCACTATTTAAAAATTCTGTTGTTGGATTCTCGATTGATGAATATAGTCAACAATTAACTTTTCCCTTTTAGCATATCTGAACCTTGATGTTTAAATGTAATCTGGTTGTCATTGGATCAAGTATATCAATTTATGCAATTTTATATGGATGCAAACCTAGACGAAGGTGAATCAAGCAGGTCATTTCTCTTTTAAAGCATCCTCAATAGTACTTTAAAAGTCTTAGACATTGAGTCGATGGTGTAAGTGACGAACTGCTAATCTTTTTCTTTCTATTTTCTTTTTGCGGTTCATTGCAGAGCTTTTGAGAAATCCCTTCGAGCTCGCTTAGTTAAGGTAATTCACAGCCACTGGTAAAATAGTTTTTTGGTTGTTTCTCCACGGACTAATTCAAACTGTTCCCTTGGCTTCTTTGCTTAGACAAATCCAAGTACAGATTTTTGTTGCCTGAGGAAATTTCGTTCATACTTCACACAAGATATTCCATTACCTTTGGTAAGCCATATACCAATCTGCATTCTTTCTTCTCTATTTTGAGGATCGCTTAGGGTTACTTTTGCTTTATTACAATGTTTCAGGGGACAACAATCAATTTTCGACGGACAGCTGATGGATGTCTGATTACTGAAAGTGAGCATGAGTACTAATTGGTCGAATTTATGAATTTTTTGACACTAAATTTATACTATTCTCTTAGGCCTTTGGTTTTCTTGACAAGAAATAGCGTAACAAAATTCTTTTTTTGCCTTCTTGTTTGTCTGTCCGTATTGTTTAGAGGCAGTTCTAACTTAAATTATTGACGTTTCACTGCTAAAGTGTTGGTTTTATGTACAGTTGGAGGGAATCACATTGGAAGTGTCCCCAGCAAAGATTTATGTCGTAAGTCATATTCAGATTTCGGGTTGAAATCTAAGACCATGTATTTAATATAACATTCCTTTGTCAAGTATTAAACCAAAGTAAGTTTTTATCATGTTTTGCAGGGGCCTTCTTTGACATGTACATTGGGGATGAACCTGTATCTGAGCAAACAAAAGAAGAGATTGGCAAGAACGTTGTTAATATCATTAGAAGGTGTTGAAATGGCTTCATTTTCGACCTCCAATTGTCTTGGTTTTTGGAATGGACAATTGGCAACCGGTGGCATATACCATCTGGTTGATGGCATGAGCAGTGGCTATTCGAATATGGAATTAGATCTGCCTTTAAAGTTTAGATCATGATTTGGGGTTACACTGGACGGTCATGGCTTATACTTTTCGAGGTTTGCCCCCTTCTTCAAATTTGATTGTCACTCAGTTATTCTTTTTTTAGATCAATTGAGGGTAAGCATTGTTTCCCCGCCCACATACTAGATGTATAATAATTTTATTGAAAGAAAAGAGGGTAGTGAATCACTAGTATCACTCGTTGTGCTTAGCTGAAAGCAATAGGCCGAGGTGATGGTGAGGCTCTGAACCGTTGATGGGACCTGGTTCATTGACTCTGATATGCAACATGCATCTGTTCTTTTTGATTACTATCTTGGTCTTGCCCACCTCTTTATACATGGAGGGGTTTAGCACTTCAGCAGCAGCAATGGAGTTCATAGGTATATGAATCCATGGCACTGATTTTTCAGTGAAATTGGATAAATATCGTGAAAGCAAATGAAATTTTTTATGGCATGACCATGGATGAGAATGGAATGGACGCAGCGAGGTGGAACATGAACAGCTTACCTGGGCGACCTCTTTTAGAAACAACTTGCAACTATTGAATAATTTTAGCTATTTCTCGGAGACTGTTTGCTAAGCGGTTTGAAGAAAATTAGGGAGTCTGTTGGCAATGGCATCTGTCAATGGTTTGGTAATTGATAGGCAGCAACGTGTGTGCACTCTCCAATTGGGCTTAAGTTATTATGAATTTAGGACCTGGGAGAATGATAATTAAGAGAATTAATGTAAATGTAAAACAAGGGTCAGTGTACAGTTGAAACTTCAAAATTTACCACTTAAACTACTGTATTTAATTGTCATTCTCCCCTTGGAATTTTGTTTGACATTCAAGGATCCTTTGAGAGTATTCATTATAAGTAAGGATCCTTTATTTAATTTAAAAGCAGATTTAAAGGACATGAATTTTATTGACGTATTTATTTGTGTAATTTGATTTCTTTAAGAATGAATATTAAACTTTAAAATGAAATTTTAAAAATAAAATCAAAAGCCAAACAATTTTTGGATTCAACGTGAGTTTTAAGGACCGAGCCAGGTAGCCGGTTGGCGGTTTAAGCCATCCAAATTTCAGTTCGGCTCAAACCAAACACATCCAAAATGTGACTGCTGGGGATTGGGATGAAATGATGGAGGGGTGTTTACAGTAATGGGAATAAATAAAGAAGTGAAGGGGGTGAGGGATACATTTTCCTAATGGGATCAGCATCCAAATCTTGGTGTGTCTAAACAAAGCAATCGTGTTACCCAGTAGGGGAATTGGACGCCCAACGCAATAAATATAGTGAAATTGATTGATTTAAAAAAAAATAATCATTTAATCTTCATAATTTTAACTCAATTGTAATTTAATATCTCAACTTCAACTCATTATAACTTAATTTTAAATTTTGACTTGGTTGTAATTCAGTTCTTGAATTTTACTTTTGCAATTTAGTCCTTAAAGTTTCAATTTCGTAAATATTGATTCCTATATTTTAAAAAATAAAATTATAATGATCAAAAATATTTTAAAATTTTAATATTTATAATATTTATAAAGATTAAAAGAGTTTAATAATTTAAAATATTAGTAATAAATTTTAAAATATTTTGAATCTTTATAATTTTATTTTTAAAATATAGGGACCAATATTTAAAAGATTAAAACTTCAGGGACTAACTTATAAGAGGTAAAGTATAGGGATTGATTTACAATTGAGTCAAAATTTTAGAGATTGAGTTTAATGAGTCACAATTTAGAAACTGAGTTGCAATTAAGTCAAAACTATAAAGACTAAATAATTAATTTTTTTTGATTTAATGTTAGATTAGATTCAGAGATGATCAGCGACAGTAGCCCCGGGTAGGCGTGGTAGGCTGGTAACTCATGCCTAATGGAGTAGAGCCGTCCAATTCAGCCCTTTTGAGCCCTGATAAGATTTAAAGCCGGGCTGCTCCTTTAATTTATAAAATGATAAGTTAGATTTAAAAGAATTAGCCTTTTCAACCTTAAAATAAAAGTACAGGTCCTTTTAAGCCCTTATATATATATATATATATATATTAATTTTAATATATAAAAAATTAAATATCATCAAAAGTCTAAAACTTAGTTTTATTTCATTTGACTCTTAAGTGGGTTCTCATTCATTCTCTCTTTAATTGATCCTCTAGACTTCAATCTAAGAAGAAGAATCAAATTATATTAATGTTCATGATAATAATACTAGCAAAGTTTAATTATTATTGATGTTAATTCTATGATATTGCTATTTTTATTAGACATAAATTTGTTATTCTATGAATTATCTTAAATTTATTTTGTTTAGACTTACTATTATATGTGATAATTTTTTTGTGATTTTAAATAATTTTTTTAAATAAAAAATAAAAAAATAAGATTGAGGTTTAAGAGTCAAGATCAGACTGATCAAAATAAAATTTCAAAGTGCAATCAAACCTAACAGAATTAATTTATTTAAGCCCTAACTTTTTAAGTTGGGTTGGCTTAATTATCACTCTAATTGAAGACTTCCCACCACATGATGGATATGACGTGGGTTGCCTTCTCATCAACTGCTTTTTCCACGTGGGCCTGTCATTTTCTGTTCTCCTCTATGGGCCCCACCGGTATCTCCAACCCCTTTTCATTTTCTTCGAGCTTTTTCATGGAAACAAAAATTGAAAAAAAAAAAAACAGAGAAATTTTTTTTCATTTTTTATGTTTCGACCGACCGGAATAAATAGATAAAAATGAGTACATATCAAAATGAATATAATACTTTTATATCAATATATATATATATAATGCAACCATCTTTATAAAAAATATATTAAAAATATAAATTATATTAAAATTAACATTACCAAAAATAGTTTAAAATCAAATTAGTTGGTTAAAGATATATTTCCATGTTATTATATTTTAAAATCAAGTAATTTAATAAAATATGTTATTTTTATTTAAAAAGATAAAAGCAAGTTATTTTTAAAATTAAGTACCATAATAGAAAAAATAAAGGAAAAATAACAATAAAATTTTTCTAAAATATGTAAGTGATAATTTAATCTCTCAAAATACCATAATTTTCTTAAAGTCTTTAGAAACTTTTATATCATTAATAAATTTATATAAATTATTAAATTGTCCTTGTTTTATTTTCGCAACTTTTCTTTTTAAATTCGTAACAATACAACAGCAAATTACAACTTCACATGTTAAATTTTTTATTTACTATTATATTGTTATAAATATAAAAAGAAAAGTTATGAATCATTTATTTTTAACAAAGATAATTTAGTAATTTATATAAATTTATTAATGATAAAAAAATTTTAAAAATTTTAAAAAAATTATGACATTTTAAGAGATTAAATTATCTTTTATATATTTTGAAAAAAAAAATTATTTTTATATTTTAAAAATAAATTGCCTATTCAACTCCTAGCTCCTCAGTGAGAGCATTTTGCTTGCACCTATAATCATGAATTTGACTCGACGGCTAGGATGTTGTACCAGAACATAAAAATATAAATTACATACATGACATTATAAAAATATAAAAAGTATATACTCCCTTCATTTAAAAATATAAAATATTTTTAATTAAATTTTACCTCTTAATAAAATAGTTATCTACTTTCAAACTAATCCTATATTTCTATATTTATCCCTATTAAATATCCTATAATAAATATAAAGTCATTATTAATAGGGACACTTTAGAAAAAAGATAATAATTACATTTCGAAAGAATAAAAAGACTTTATATTTTTAAACATTCAAGTCTTTAAAAAATGCCTCATATTTTTTAACAGAAGGAAGGAGTACTTGTAAATAAAGAAAATAAAAGATAGGGATGTATCTACATTAGAGATAGAGGGGACAATTGACCCTACTAGAAAAATAAAATTTTTTATCTAAGTTTTAGTTAAAACTATACTTGCCGGCCCTTTAAAATTATTATTACCCCCCATAAAAAATTATTTGCCCCACAATTTCTTTAAAATTATCAAGTATACATATTTAAAAACATTATTTACTCATTCTTACTATGAAAATAAATTTATATTGCAAATGATATTAATATATATATTTTAAAATTATCATACATTTTATTTATATATTATTTTTATTAATATTTAGAATTATATTTTCTTTAAAATAATTAATATTTATATTTAGTATAAATTTTGCCTTCTCTAATAAATTTTTTTGGATCCGTCGCTGATAAGAGAAATAAGTGTTGGCAACACTAGCTGTAGACGTGAACAGCAAAGGACAAACTGTTTGAGTTGTGCTCGAAAGGACACTATCTTTAAGAACTATTCCAGCACACCAGAGCGACGAACTGGCAGTTCTCCAGGATTAAACAAGCACTTCCTATGGAGGAAGGAAATAGAACAACAAAGATTAAAAAGCAAACACAAGTGAATAGACGAATATGAAAGCAGAAGGCAGAGGGAGGAGAGAATTGCCCTAAAAACTCAAGAGGCTGGTACACTGTTCTGTCCGCACCCATGGCTATATATAGCCTGAAGATGGAGATATGAACGTTGGCTCATAATCACCGGATTAAAGCTTCAGTTACACTCTCATAAATCACATTTAAACCCTTGTCTGGGGGTTACGCAGATGTAAATCACAGTTAAGCCTTTGTCTGGAAACGTTGGCAGACAAAATGTTTAAGATATTAACTTCATAAAATCAGTTAATTTGGAGACGTTGGCAGATAAAATAGTTTCCTTTCTTCTTGAAAGAGGGGTTAGAAACATTGGGTTTGTAATTAGATTTCTTATTCTTCTTGTCTTTAGTTTTAGGATCATACCTCTTGTTGTGAGGCTTTATCACTATCAGGTTGGCTTTGGATGTCATTTCTCTGGTTTGAGCTACATGTATTGCCTTGCGGTTGGTGTCTTCGATGATGATGTGAGTGATCAGGTTAATAGGACAACTGCTTTTGTTTGTGTTTCAGCTGCTGTTTGTAATCAGACTATGATTCTGGTAGCTTCTCAATCAGGATCCCAGCAACAAACTCGTCTGGAAGGTTGATGTTTTCAGCATGAAGCTCCTCCAATAACTTATAATATTCATTGATTTGCTCCGTCACATCCTTGTTCTTGGTCATCTCCCATTTGTAATAGTTTTCCACAATGAACTTTTATTTGCCGGCATCCTCAACAGTGTACTTTGTCACCAAGGACTCCCATATCTTACAAGCTTCCTTGTAGAAACAGTAGACATCAAACAGATCATTAGATAAAGTGCTAATGATAGTGTGTCAGTATACCTTGTTTGCGTGAGTCCATGCAACTCTCTGGGCTTAATCAGTATTAGCAGGAGGCTTGGATTAAGCAAGAACAGTAGCCACATCATGCATGTCAAGAACGGTGAAGAATTGTTCTTGCCATCATTTGAAGTTCCTACCATTAAAGACTTCTATCTTTGATATGTCTGGGAATGGCCTCGGTAGGGGGAAAGCAACAGCGGTAGGGACGTACTGACCTCCAGTCGAACCACTAGGCACAGCTTCGGGAGTGACATTTTCAGCACTATTGGTTGCCATTGGGTGGAATAGTTCTTAAGATTATTGGCGAACAAAAATGTTTAGGACATTAACTCACAAAATCGGTTTTCAAAAGAGGTTTAATGCTGAAAAACTGCCAAGGCTTCAAGTTTAAATTCGAAACAGCAAACACCATAGGTTTTTCTAGTAAGCTAAAAATAAATAAATAATTATTTTTGTAAAAATAACCCAATAAAAGGAACCCATTGCCTTTTGAACTCGCATGCAGGGGGCGAATCGACTGATTTTAACTG